TTGCTCACTTGGTCGATTATGTAGACCATAAATCGGACGTAAAGCGAACCGAACACTGATTTTGGTAATAAAATTCAATGATTTGCAAGCGTTGCTCGTTAGTAAGTCTATTCATGATGAAATGTCAAAGCATACTGAGCATCTTTCTCTTTGACACCATGTCTGAAATCCCACGTGATCTGTCAAATACTAATGCATGAAAATCCTAACCTCAAAAAAATCACCCGTTATATGTAGAAGATATTCCAAAACTTTTTGTTGGTAATAGTGTCCTTGAATTTACTAACAAAATTCGAAATTTAGGCTTTGTCGTTAATTCTAAGCTGAGCTCTGCCCATATAAATAAAGCGGTGAGTAATGTGTATTCTGTTTTACGTAGATTGAGAATGTCGGCGTCATTTACGCCTTTGGAGACCCGAAGAACTCATTGTACCACACATAACGTACTATGAGCTTGTATACATATAGCAAGCTTGATTCCATTTCGCATCACAAAATTGATGTTGCCTTTAATAATGTTACGCGTTATGTTTTTGGTTCAAAAAATATGACCATATCTCCTTCTGGAGGAGCAAAATTCTTGGATGCAGCATCTTTGAATATCTCGCAGCAGGAAACTATGTATACATTTACAAACTTATTCAATTCAACACACCGAAATACATTTACGAAAAGTTAAAATTAACTAAGTCTTGCAGCCACACAAATCTTATTATCCCTAAATACTCCTATTTGGCGTCCCAGAGACTGTTTTTCGTCAATGCGGTGAGGCTTTGGAATTCCGTTCCTGATAGTGTTAGGTCTGCGATGGATAGTGGCAACTACGGGGGGATAATACATGAATACTTTAATTAATAATTTAATTAATAAATGTGATTGCAACTCAGCTTTTCTCTCCTCCTTATTTATTTCTTTCTCTTTTATATTTGATTGTTAAGTTTTTTTATAGGAGTGATAATTACTATTATTTAATGTTGAGTTTTTTATTTAATGTTTTAATATTAATTTGAAGAATTATTTTTTTGTATCTAAATTTAAATTTATTGTTATCACTTATTTGTTTCAAGTTAGGGTTAAGATTCTAATTTTGTAAATTAATGTGCGCTGATGTATTATAAAAGACTGAATAGTTTTAAAAATACAACCAAATTTCTTAATGAAATAAATAAATAAAATTGATAAATATAAAAATAAAATGTTTCCCAATAAAAGAGATTTGATGGCATTTGATCTCTAAATGTACTCAAAAAGCATTAAATAAATGAAAGTACATGAGTTAATAACAATTTATGGGGTTATTTCATGGAGAATTTTAATTTCTCGGCGGCTTAGTATTACAAGCAGATTGGTTTTTTGATAAAAATTTTAATCTATTAAGATTTAGGACTTCGACGGAATTTCAAGATAAAATATGCAATTTCTTCCCACTGTATACCGGTGTCGCCACCGCCGCACTTCTCGCGGGGGATATTTTTCTAAGTACCAGTTTGATTCCCTAATGAATCTACCGATTTCGCTTATGATAGTTCCTGATAGATCGGTTAGTTGTGCCATTAGGTTTTTACCTAACATTCTATCTTCTAACTGATGGCCACAAGATCTTCGTTCCGTCTTAGTCAGGCCATAGTGTTCTCGATATCTTACAAGCTTGAATATCTCTTTCACCCATACCCTGCCTTTGCCAATTCATCAGCTCTCTCATTGCCTTCTAGGTTAATAGGTACAGAATCCAGACAATAGAGACGGCATTTGACTGAGGCACTGAGCGCAGTACCATTTTCCATTCCCTAACTAGCTTAGATTTGGTAACCTGTTATATTATTTCTAATAGCACCACTTGGCTTCGAGGATACCTAGAATTTCCGCTTGGAAGATGCTTGTATCGTTGCGCAATCGTAGAGACAGAGCAACACCGAGTTCCTCGGAGTAGACTCCCGCACCCACACCACAATCCATCATGGATCCGGTGTATAAAGATGTAGCCTATTTATTTGCCACTCGGTCTCTTTTGGATGGGAATAACACTTGCACACTACAGCTGAAGTCTAGATTGCATACCATATAGTCCGAAATGTCTAGTCCCCCATAGGCATAACTCCGAGTCTAGCCGCCGATTTAATAGCTACATCTTTCAAGTGAAGATCGATAGGGATCAGGTTGAGGATAGCATTTAGCACTTCTGTCGGGCAGAATCTTACTGCACCTGTTATTGCTGTGCTTGCTGTCCTTTTTATGATTCTTAGTTGCTGAAACTTTGGCGCCCCTCTGTTGAGTTCTAGCAGAATGCCTTTAAGCGCTATTGCCCATAGCAGGGGTGAGAGCACATCGCCCTGTGGTGTGCCTCTGTTCACATAGTATGTTATAGAGTTATTCTGTTATATCGCGTATATTGTATCCATCTGCAAACACCATCATCAACATTTAGGATTCAGCGATGGCATTGACCTCAATATTATTAAATGCTTCTCAAGCAACCCCGCCAGAATATATTGTTTAAAGTGCAAGAATTATTTTATTAGACATGTAAGGCAGATTCAGTGGATCTATTTAATGTACGCCTGTTGTGTTGTTGGGAGTGTTGCTTCCCCAAGAGCGATCTTATTTAAACGTCTAGGAGCCGTTCAATTTTGTAAGAGAGATCTAAAATGTTTTGATGTTTCCTTTTCGGAACGTAACGCAGAGATATCCGCTTTCACTGCCTGATTTCTGAGATTATGCGATCTGGCCCTGGGAAGTGGAAGGCGAGAAGTTATTTATAGCGCATGCAATATTATATCTGCTCACGATGTTGTTGCAGCAGATACAACAACCCCGCCCAGATCGGCTAGTACCTCAATCGTTGTCGTCAAGCCTAACTAACGGTAGATCCAAGAAGCATACAGCTTATATAGGATCCGTCCATAAGGACAGAGTCGTTAGTTAACTGGAGTTTTGTGGGAATGCAAAGAGATGTCTCGAGTCGTGGGGTGTCTCTCCGCATGCCGGGTACTCGTTTTGCACATCCGCATTTAATCTGCTCTGGTACGGGTTCAACATGCTGCAGTAGCCAGAGCGAAGTTGGGCTATTGTGGTCAGAGTCTTCCGAGGCAGGCGAAACTCTGTCTCGTCTACGTTTGGTAGACGTGCGCCCAAAACGGAATTCACAGGTCGGTAGTCTATGTAACTGGAGACCGACTCCCTCTGAATGCCGTTTAAGGCCTGTCGGTATGCTGTCGGGGCCAGAGGCTGCTTTATAAACCTCTGCACTTGGTCCGTCAGTTCGTATAGATGCCTTCAGACGTGCCGTGCCGAGGACTCTCCCGCAAGCACGCCCACGTCTGTGACACCCTACTAAGAATTGCTTGCAGAGTACTGTGTTATGCTCCTGAATTGGGAGCATATGAGTCTCGGCATGCAGGTGATGTTGCGGCGACATCAGAAGGCCTCCGGTTGTTGTTGTTGTTGTAGCGGCTACAACAACCCCGCCCAGGACGGTTGGTATCTCAGTCGTTGTCGTCAAGTTCCACTAACGGCAACCCTAGGAAGCGTGCAGCTTCTGTGGGGTTTGTCCACAGGGACAAGGACGTTAGGGTTGTCGGGTTTACCGGGCATGCGAAGAGATGTTTCGAGTCATGTGGGGTCTCTCCGCATGCCGGATACTCATTCGGCACATCCTCATTCAACCTACTCAGGTAGGAGTTCAACCTGCTGCAGTAGCCGGAGCGAAGTTGTGCAAGTGTTGTGCGAGTCTCCCGAGGCAGATGAAGCTCCGTCTCGTCTATGTCCGGGGGTGGTATGCCTAGAACGGCATTCACAGGTCAAGAGTCTACATAACTCGAGACTGAGTCCCTGTGAATGCCTCCGGTTACTGTCTGCAGTGCCGTGTTCTAAGTAGTAAGTCTGTAGCTTCATCCACTGCGCCCTACTATTCCCCGGCGAACACATAGGCCTGCATGATTTAGAACCGACCGACCAATTGCCTTGTACGTTGCTCACGATCGAGTCGTATGCTTCTAGACAGGAAATATTGAATCTGATGTGGTTGGATCCAGAATACATCCTGGGAAATGAAACTTGACTACTGTCTCCCTTAACGAGCATGATATTGGTGTGTTCTTTCGATAGGATTTTGTAATCGTAATCACAACCTTCGATTAACGAATAAAAAAATTATCATTAATCGTACAGATGACTACGATGTATTAATTTTAATCGTTGTTCGCGATTAACATTTTAATCGTTATTTTTTAATCCTTAATCAAATTAACATTTTGCCAACACTGCATACATACATAATATGTATATCCAAGAGCTATTACAGGCGGTCCTCTAGGTGAGGTTCTCTTGTTCTTTCTACTCTTATCTCTTTGTAATGGATTTCCCGTCTCCTAAAAAAAACCAAGGGGCGATGTCTTTTGACGCAAAGCAGACCATGTCTGGTGTCGGTGGCTTCACAGTGAATATTATTGAGGCCAGCCGTATATTGTGCTTTACCGAAAGAAGAATCTACGTAATTCTGAGAGTTTTTTCTTCCGCTTAGCACATAATTTGATGTGGCGTCGTGAAGATCGTTACCTCGATATGTTAGAACCAACCAGCCTGGTTGATAAAGCTGCGAATGGTGTGGAGGCTTATATCTGAGAGCTCTTTTAACGATATGAACTCATACATATGCCCTAAGTATGCTATACCTGCTCCTCATTAAAGTGGAAATTTGCAAAGAAGGTACTCTACTTTTTCCGGTTCGGTTTTGTTCCTGTAGTTTGTACAGAAGTCGTTGTAAGCGCTGCCTGGCCTTCTCGCATGGGTGCCAACCGGTCAGTGCCCAGTAAAAATCGCCACTAGCCTTGCGGCGTCAGGTTTGGTGTGTTTCTTAGGGTTGTCGTTGTTGTAGCAGCATACAAGTTCCCTAAAGAGTTCCGGTTACGCCCGATACTAATTTGATTCAAATCTGATCAATGCATCATGAAGAAATTACCCTATAAATATTTTGGCGAACGTTCGAAAAAGACCTTCGATATCCAATGTGCATATCAAACTGAGAACGAACTCATAGCCCATCTTAGTTTTCCAACGTTCATAGTGTATTGGAAATATGCTTGAGATGGTTTCGAAAAAAAAATAAAAACCATAGAAACAAGAGAGGAAGTGAAATCTAGCTCATTTTCGAAGAGAAATATAAGACAATCACTATCCCTAATTAAATTTTAATACGTTGGATAACGAAGGTTCCGTTTTACTGGAGAATGGCCTTGTTCTCGAATCGAATACTAATCTATTCCACATTAGTTATCGAAGGTGAGGCTGAGAAAAGAATTATTAACCGAGCCCAATGTTTATTGGGTAACGATAATCTTAATTTTTTTTTATGAGAATTGAAGTCGGTTTTGTTTTTTGCTTAAAAATTACTAGTTGCAAGTGAAAACTCCTTTTCTAAAGCTAATTTTAACGAATTGGCGCAAAATATTTTAGTGGTAGTCTCAATTCTCAAAAAATCCCAATTTTCCAACTAATCAATTTTAATAATTAACTCACACTCATTCCACTAACAAACCAAGGACCATAAATATTGTACATTTTAATTTATTTAAGTTTAAATATTTGTATGTATGTATATTTATTTATATGAATAAAGGTGCACGCCGCAACAGTCCAAAGGACATATGCAACTCACATGTGTTATTGATCTTGATTTTAAATTAGTAACAATTTCAAGTGCTAAATACAATTTTACTTCTTGTTACTTGTGTTGTTGTAGTAATGATCATTAAATAAGTTAGTGGTAGTGAATGCTTATGTTTATAATTTCATATTAAGAAATAAATTTTAGAATTAAATGTATTATGTGAACAAAAGAAAATGTAGAAATAAAGTATAACTGTTCACTCTGAAAACCCAAAGACAGGCGACATCGATGCAATCGCCTAGAGCTTGCGGCCTATCATGTTGCAGCTTTTTGTACCTCTACCGCCGGCCCAGATGTGTTTGCTGATGGTGTCGCCCTAGATTCACTCCCCGTCAATGTTGAATTGACGCTTGCCAAAGAAGCTTTGGCAACAGTGTCAACCGCATTAGCGTTTTCTGCGCTGACTGTTGTCGCTATTAAATCTGAATGTTTTATCGGAGGAATAATGGAAATCGTCACTGACTCATCAGCTGGCGAAGGTCCGTTATTGTTTTCGCCAATAGTTGGTGAGGTGGCTGCCTTGCACGCATTTATGTTATCGGCAATGTTAATATTGTCGCTACTGGGTGAAGAACTACTAATGGCATTGGATACAGCAACTGCGTTCGGTACTAGCGAAATTACTGAGTTGTTATTGGCATTTTCCATAGATGCACCCGATAGAGATAACTCATCAGCCGAATCGTCCGCACCATCTGTTTGAATTCCCTTTTCTTCCAACATATGCTCATTGATTCGAATTGGTTGACTGGCAGAACCAAATTGTTTGGAAATCTGCAGTAGTTCACGCAAAATTTGATTCTCTTTTCGCAGTCGAGACATGGTTTCCATATCCCGGTGGACAGCGTCATCATCCACAGAAGCTGCACGCTGCATTACAACGGCCATTTCCCTGATTTTGGCGCGCTGTTCACGTATGATTATCCACAGTTCCTCATTATATACTTCTTTGAAGTTAATTTTGCTTTCGAGTATTTTGCTGGTTGTATGTTCGCGATATTTTTGCATTATGAACTCCATGGTGCGTTCATAATCTTCAATGCATATTTTTAGCTCTCGATTTTCTTTCAATATTTCTGAACTGGTAGCATTTTGCTGTTGTATACGATTCACCATTTCAGAATTCGATTTGTTGTTGGAAATTCGGTTTAACGAATCCATATCATCTTGAAATTGTCGCAAACTTTCGACCAAGCGATTGTTGCCTTCTGCTTCTACCAGCAAAGCATTACCCAACAGTTCTAAATCTTTTACGCGACTAGCAATACGCTGGGCGTCCATAATTATTTGTCCCACCGACATATTCGACATCTTTGGTTGAAATGGGTGATACTACAACAACCGTATAGGTTGCGTGTTGTCCAAATTTTCTTTTGTGGCACTTTGATCAACCCGAGATGGGCTGTTTTTGGGCGCCTCTAATAGTACTGTCCAGCTGGTGGAGCTACTTCCTCTTCAGCAATATCGCTTTTTCTTCAGCTAATATATATTTTCTCTTATGCGATGTGTTACTTTTTCATTAACGCAATATCCAAAGAAGCTGTTTCAATTGAGTTTTTAGAATTTTATAATTTCTGTTATTAATTTGTGAGAAAACTAGAAAAAAAATCACTGAATAAAAAAGCACTCGTCCACTGACATTTGACAAATTGCCCTGATTGGGAATGACAGCTGTTACCTTGCCACAGTTTAAAAGTTATAAATTACAAATATAATTACAGACGTGTTTACACCGAGCGCCTGAAATGGGCGGTTTTGGCAAAGAACGTAGATAACAACAAGAAGGGACAACTCGTTATAATTGTAGGGAAACTGCGCTCAAGGGGCGTGCCTTCTCTTTTCATCCAATCAAAAAATGCACTAGGGCAAAATAGAAGGCACGCCCCTGTTGCGCACATTCGCTACAATTATAACGAGTTGTCCCTTCTTGTTATTTACGTTCTTTGGGACAGCTGATCAGAATAGTAAAAAAAAATTGCTAGGTGAATTTACTTGAGCGTGTCAGATTAAGAAATGGTGGAAAAAATGTGCACAGTACAACAACAGCACTTAACGCCATAAACAATCAGATAACACGTGGCCTTAGCCGTAACCGTCCCTGTGAGAGAACTATCCCAGTAACGTTGAACCGGACAAAAGCGTTGGACACCGTCAGCCACTCCACGTTACTAGAAGATATAAAGGCTTCTTTTCTCCCACACAGGCTCAAACGGTGGTCGGCGAATTATCTGAGTAGTCGACACTCGTCGGTAATGTTTAGAGACAAATCGAGCAAACACAGAAAAATAAAACAGGGTTGTGTCCTTTCCCCGCTACTGTTTAACTTTTACATTTCAAAGCTCCCTCAACCACCAGAGGGAGTCTCGATTGTCCTTTACGCCGACGATTGCTCGATCATGGCGACTGGGAATGGAATTGATGACTTGTGTTCGAAAGTAAACGGGTATCTCTCCCCGAGCTTTCTCGCTTCTTCACTGCAAGGAGCCTAACCCTCTCCCTACGAATTCCTGTGCGACCTTGTTCACCACCTGGACCAAGGAGGTCAGGCTACCGCTGGGAATTTACGCCGATTATACACCAATTCCGACGGTGAATAACTCCAAAATACTTGGAGTAACCTTCGACAGTCTGCTCTCCTTCTCTGCGCACGCAACCGCTATAGTCAACAAGTACAGAGCTGCAACAAGCTCCTCAGGCCGCTAGGCGGCAGCACTTGGGGCAAAGACAAAGTAACGTTGCTGGCAACATACAAGGCAATACACCGGCCGGTTTTAAATTACGCAGCACCAGTGCGGTCGCCGGGGACTAATAGGACGCAGTGGATGAAGCTGCAGACGACGCAAAATACCGCACTACGGACACCACCTACACGAAGAGGCGAAATTGCTCCCGATCAAGGAGCACAATACAATGCTCCTCAAGTAGTTCCTTGTTGGGAGCCATAGACATGGTCACCCAAATGGGCAACTGCTTGCTCGCCCAGGCACGTCAGGAGGCATTTCTACGAACTGACGGACGAAGTCCAGAGGTTTATTAAACAACCCCTGTACCCGTCAGCTTATCGACAGTCCCTGAACGGCATTCACAGAGAGTCAGACTCGAGTTATGTAGACTCCAGACCTGTGAATGCCGTTCTACGCACACAACCACCGGACATTGGCGAGACGGAGCTTCATCTGCCTCGGGATATAAAAAGCACAATAGCCCAACTTCGCTCTGACGACTGCAGCAGGTTGAACTCATACCTGAGCACACTAAACGCAAATGTACCAAATGAGTATCCGGCATGCGGAGAGACACCCCATGACTCGAAACATCTCTTCTTTGCCCGGAAAACCCAACAACTCTAACGCCTTTGTCCCTGTGGACTGACCCTATTCAGGCTGCACGCTTCTTAGGGCTGCCGTTAGTGGAACTTGACGACAACGACTGAGATATTAACCGATCTGGGCGGGGTTGTAGTAGCCGCTACAACAACAACAACAAATGGTGGGTTGATTACATGCTGAAAAGTGAAGCTTTGAGCGTGACACAAGATATTGGGAGGGTTGCAAACTTGCAAAAAAAACGTTACCTTGACATTCTCGAGCGCGATCTATTTTTTTTATTATACAGAAAAAAGCTGAAGTATAACAAAAAGTATATAATCTGAAGATGCTGTTAAAACTACTACAGGTTTTTCTACGAAATTTGTTATTTTCTGATTTCTTTGCTGTTTTCCGTTCATATTATTTGTCACAGTCGTATGACTGTAAGTATACCCAGCGGACCAAATGCTCGCAAATGATACCAGTTGAGAGTGAAATGTGGGAATTGACTCAAACAAACTCTCGCTAAAGGCTCGTGTTTGGCTCGTGTGATACTCCACTGTATATGTACATTAGGGCGGGTCGAAAATCTAATTTTTCTCAAATCCCTTGGTAATAGTGGAAATATATTGTATCATGAAGTCAACAAGAAGCCTGCAAAATATTAGTATTTTATTTTAATTGTGAGAGCCCGCGCATCGACCGCCAAGTGACCCACAGCACACTAGTCGAACAAGACCAATTCTTGTTAAAAATTCTGGGTCCCGTAAAAAGGGTTGTGCATATTATTAGATAATGAATCCGTTAACGCAAAATATAAGATCGCAGCACTTTAGCTTACCGTTAATCTCAAACCTATCTATTTTCAAGAAAATTGTAATTGTTCTCTTGATAATTGCACTGGCCTATAGTCAAAAGATGTAAAGAACAGCATTAATATTGCTGGCGTGCATTTAGATCGCTAGTTCCAAATATTCTAATCTTTTTTTAATATTGGCTATAGTTTGCGAATTTTTGCAAATTTAGGAACAATTTCGGTAGCTCTTATAGAATAGCCATTATTTTCCATCAACGTGGAAAAATTGTGTTTATGCAAACGAGTATGGAAACACTGAACAGGCACAACTTCTACAAACACTAATCAGTTTACTTATGTTTATGCATACAATATAAACATTGCAAATATAGCAAAATGACAAAAAAATTTTGTTTACAATTTTTTTATTTTAAAATAATTGGTTTATAATCTGAACGATTTTCAGCATATTATTATCAAAAATCAGTAACAGTAAGTCGCGCCTTCAATTTGATAATTATTACGTACCCATCGAGTAACATTTACCAAAGTTATATCGAAAAAATTAAGTGGATTTCCAGTTTTTTTCTAAAAAAAATTTCTCTTCAATTGTATAAATAACCTTTAAATTTCATTAAAGCTGAATGCAAAGCAATATCGTCCAATTGGAGAGTCCTCAAAAGGATTTCCCAGGATATGTTAAAGACTATTGCTAAATTTAATAGTCCTTAATTTGATATATCGTTCTGTTCATAACAGCGGTGTTTTTGTTTACTTAATCTATTTTCTCTCATTTTAATTTTCTTTTTTACTTAATTTAGACTGTAATGTTTTAAAAGGAAAACAAAATATCTTTCCAATCATATTTTATGATATTTTGGTTTATTTCCTAATGAAACTGTTGTTGAACAAATATTTTCCCGCTTCATTTTCGCGGTTTTCTTTTCCTACATATATTTCTTTTTGTGAGAGCTAGCAAATAAGTGACTTTTTTGGGACTAGAAATGTATTGGCGTTAAAACGCGTCGATTGATACCTTGACTTCTTTGGATGAGTTTTGGGCAGGTTCCGCCCATGATAAAAACATTACAAGGTAAATTTATTCTCTCAATTCATCGGCCATGATTTTTTTCTGACGTTTGCAAGCATTTTAAAATCGTATAAAATTTTAAACAAAAAAATTAAATTGTACACAATTGTTGTTTGAGATTGAAAATGAGAATGTGTGTGTGAGTTTGAATTTTCAAATTATATTGCTGGCAAACGTCAGACTGCCTCTCAATGGTTTTATCTTGTTATGTTTTTATCATGGGTTCCGCTAAAGTGCACTTTTACCCACGTGTCGATATTGAATGACAAAAATCGACTAGAAAATCGACCCGTGCTAAGGTAGTTTAACCGCCCCTATTCCCACACCACTAACAAAATTCAGCGGCTGACTATTGCCTTTACTACTCCGCCTAATACTATGCCGCAAACTTATTAAGCTGGGATCACACGATTTGTACATTTGGCTAAAAATTTGTCAAATTCGTAGACAAATCATGTGAACGCTAAATTACATTTGTCATTTATCAGAAAAGCCAAATATTTGCCTTCTGTCGGCAAATGAAAAACAACCCTGGTGGCCAAATCGTGTGAACGCAATGCTGCTACATAAGCCAAATAAAAATTAAGCAAATGACCAAATATCTAATTTGCCACTTGATGACAAATGAACATTTGTATTTTCCAATTTTGGCAAAATTTTAATATTTAATATAATATTCGTATCCGAAAACTAACGAAAAATCTCACGTTATTTGAAAACAATAATTTTAAAGTATTTGCTCAAACTGAACATTTGAAACATGTACATATACGTATTCGACTGTAGCTGAGTTTGCAGAGAAGTGTGCGACTATTTTTAAGCTTTCATGAGGTCCCAGGTTCTTATGCCGGCAGACGAACATATTAAAAAGTATTTATAAAAGTATAATTAATTTCTGAGTAAAATTAACTATGAAAAAGCATATGTGAAGTTCAGAATAAAATATAATATAATAAAATATAAAAATATATTTACATATATGCACGGACGATTTTTAATATTTTTCATCCGTAAGCAAATCTTCAGTACCATAAAAGATTCAAACACAGCAAACTACAAGCAATGCAAAGTCCAAGCTAGTGGTACTCCACTGTACATGTGTATATGAAAGTATGCATGTATGCGTGTAAAAAATGTCAATTCCAGTTGGTCTTTAACCCATTTTAGCGGACATAGTTTTGTTGGTTTCAGCTGGTTCCAACTGTTAATGAAGCACAATTTTTATGGTTAATCTTGATGAAAGTTACATGTATCGTCGAGAACATGGTTACATGCAGAATTTTAAATTAATTAATATTATTCTCCATACAAAATGTACGAGTATTGCTTTATTAAATGCAAACTTATGCGAAAATCTAAATATTTCGTGAATGTAGGGTTAATATTTTCGCGCACGTGCCAATCTGGTGTCGATTCCCAGAAATTGAATAATTTGTGTGTGGATGGGAGCGGCGAGGGGAAGACGAAAGCCGACCAATCGCACATTTGTATGTACATATATATGTTACATACATACATTACATACCTACATATTTACAAAGGCATGTGTATATATGTACGTACAAATTTATGCGTTTGGCTTTTTGCATGAATAGAAAATTTGATTGCAGAAATAATTTTAATGAAATTAATTTTACAAACACATTTGTAC